AAAGAGTGATAATGTATGCAAGCGGGCAGGAATGTTTCCATTTTCATGTAGTAATGTTTCACAAAAGAACTTTGGCTTAATGGCTTAAAAAAACCCAGAATGAGTAATTTTAAATAGATGTCAATATGTGTCAGTCAACAAGAGTTTTCTTCAGTTTTATTTGTGAAAACCAATGCATGAACACAGCTCCAAGATAATTTATAGAGAATTACTTCCTACGCTAAATAAAATCCCATAAGTGCTAATGAGAGTCCTGCACTCGGTCTTTGCCATTTCTGGATCAGGTAAACTTTCAGGCATTTTCTTAGGAAGCAGAAGGGAGCAGATGTGTAAAAAAGAGTGAGAAAAGCAAGCTGTCCGTGTTCAGCACAGGGATGAGGAACAGAGAACTGTGAGTGGCGTTTCTTTTCCAGTAAAGAAGTGCTTAAGGATGCTTTTTCCTTAACAGAAACTTAGTTTGAAATTGAGCAAAATAGAGTCTTCTATGTTACAATGCTTTTTCCATTGGGCCCAAGACCTTTGAATTTTTTGTCTCTAGATTTCACACAGGCAATCTCATCTGCACTGAAAAGTGAAAAGGAGGCTTGAGAGTAGGCTTGAGCATCGCAGGCTCCATGGCTTCTGTATTTTCCACCCCTTTTGCTGGCCATAAAATGCCTGTTATTTAGTTACCAAGCATCTGCACTGTGCTGAGGAGAGAGAGGCTCAGGGTACATGATGAATTGACACCATACCTGTCAGCTCTCCAAAAAGAAAGCAGGTATGAAATTTGCCTTTTAGCTTACTATTGAGTAAAATATTAAAAAGCCGTGTATGGTATTGCTCTAGCCAAGCAGCAACAGTGCCCAATGGAGGAGCAATAAATATCTAGGTTTCCAAAAGTGCCTGTCTCAAGAATAAGCCAGTAAATCTGCGTCACCACAATGTCCCACAATGGAGCAAGATGTATGTGCTACAATCTGCATGAGGGTACACTGCCCAGAGAAATATTAGTATTAGAGTAACAGAGACTTGAATGCAGAAATAACCTGTACTTGGAGGGGGAAAGCGCATAATACATCAGAAATACAATGCTGTTGTCAACATAAAACATAAGGAGCGGGGTGATTTAAGAGGATGACAAGTAGCTGGTAGGGATGTGTGCCATGAGAGTGCAAGGCTCTGTGGTTAAGGCTATCTAGGTCTCCTGTCCATTTAAGAAATGGCGAGGCTTTTTGGAAGGGGGATTTATGCTCTGGGGCACTGTGCTATATCAGAAGAGTTGTTAATATTGAAATGAATTGTTCCGAGAAGCGCAATTTAGAAAAGAATATTTTTTTCTTAACCTGAAGCCTGTCAGCAAATCCAATTTGGTGTTGAAGTGCAGTATGTGGTATTCCACCAGACTGACTTGCTTTTGCTAGGGATGTTTGCCTGAGTCTGCGTAGGTGCACGTGAGCACAGGACTGGGAGGAACAGCCCCAGTCGGAAAGTCCAGATTCCACTGGTATGATGTGGTATCATGATTTTCATAAATATTTTAAGCCTCATCTTAAAAGTGGTTTAGGTTTTTTGCTCCTCTTATTCTAACTGGAAAGGATGTTTTGGAATCTCACCATTGTAAAAATTAGGAACCATCTTCTAATATCTAGCTTATGTTTATGTTTGGCCAATTTGTATATTTTTTCTTTTTCTCATAGGACAATACTGTTTTTTACTTGCATAGCCTTTCCTCTCTCTTAGGTTAAATCCCTGATGTATCTATATCTCTTTTTGCCAGTCCTTAGATACAGACTCTCCATTCCACAAAGATCCTCATAGCAATTTTCCTCATTAATTGCAGTTTGACTTCATCTTTCTTGAACCGAAGGGCTCAGTCCTGAAGTTTGGAGTATTTCGAGTGAAATGTCCCCTGTGCATTGCACAGTAGCACTAATATCTTCCTCATTCTGCTGGGAAAATCTGTTCTGATACAATCTATGTTTTTTTGGAAGACTGCATTAGAAAGGCAATTCGGTGACGTCCTGGTTGTACCTGTTCTCAGGTACTGTTGTGCTGGTTGTCTGGCATGTGACAGGTACCTGAGGTAGCCAGCAAGTCTGCTGTGGCATGCTCAGAAGAGCAGCAGGCTCGTGCAACTGCCCGCCAGCCATCTGACGTCTGTGGAAAGAGCTCGGTAACATCTCGCTGGGATTGCCACCCAAGGCCGCCTCTCCCACGCCATTTTGGGCGCGTGATCACCCACCGCAGAACCGCAGCTTGTTATTCATCTGCAAACGCATGAGTGTGTTCTCTCAGTGAACTTCTCTTACCTCAGCCTTCAAGGTCACCTCATTCTTTCTGTATTCAAAGCCTCCTCACTTTAATATTCCAGCTTGGTTTCATTAGCAGCTTTCATCAGATAACTCCAGATTTTTATTAAAAAAAAATAAAATTAATGAAAATATTTAACAGATCAGTGCTCCCTCCACCCTGGTACTTCCCTTTCAAAGCTTCTAGTTGTCACCTCCTCTTTAGCATAATCCATCTTCACCTTTCAGTGCCTTTAGGCATCCCATCTTCTCCAACGGCATAAACAGTTGCCCATTAGCCTGGCATGGAAGGCTTTGCTCGGGTCCAGAGAGGTGACATCTATGGCATTTCCCTTTGGAAGCTCGGTTTTCTAAAGGAAGGTACCAGGTGAACATGGCATGTGTATATGTACCTTTTATAAAACCAAGCTGCATTTCTCCCCACTTATTTCCGTCTGGTTTTGCTTCAAATTTTGTTTTGAAGTCCTGCATGCTACGGAGACAAAAATTGTGGTTCTTGTTTACCCAGAGCACTTTCTCCTTCTCTTCAGCCCTTCTTAAATACAAGTACAAATGCACTCTTCTGGTCACCCCAGCTTGGCTGAAAGTCAGAACTAGGCTTGAAAACTAAAAACTCTTATGATTTCAGACTGCTCTTTCTTTCAGACTCTGGGAATGGTTCCGTTTTCCTTTGGGCTGAAGATTTTTATACCTCCAGCACTTGCTATGCTAAATTAAAAGTTCTGTCACTTTTGGGGTTTGTTTTTTTTTTTTTCTCTGAAAGGTGTGATGTAGTTCATCTTCAAGCCTTAGACTTCCAGCAGGAGTTGATGGCAGCTGTACATCTGGGCTGTGCAGACCAGAGTATCAAAGTAGACTCTTTAACTTAAAGTCCTCTGTGCCTCCGTCCAAGAGACCTGGGCAATTCAGGCTGCCCACCTGGCAGCTACGCACCCACAGCTCCTCCTGAGCCGAGTTCTGGGCCCGTGCGTCTGCCCACGCTCCGGGAGACACATCCCAGGGCTCATTGATTACAAACTACCTCGATGGTATATTGACAAATGCAGCCAGCAACGCAGAGTTACCAAAAGCATTATTTAATAGTTCACGATAAATGTATCCTCTCTTATGCACTGTGTACCAGCCCAAACCAAATCAATGAATCATGTTTGGATCTGAAAATGCTGTGTCTTTCCTGAACAATCTTCATGTTTTACAGCAGATACAGTGGTCACTGCGTACACTACGCTCATGGGAGTGAGCTGAAAACAAGTTCAATAGCTTGGTCTACTAGGTATCTTACAAACCATAAGGAAAACTTTATACAAGTTATATACAAACTGAAGATAAAATATCACCCCTAACTATTATTCTGTGTTATAAATTACAAGATTTCAAATGTTTATATATTTTCTAGTAACTGTACAGGTTGTCTACAAACCATCAGAATAATACAGCGATATGTACAAGCGTATGGAAAGAGGGTTAACATTACCTGCTTCTTCAACTCTGTGGGTAGGCTGTCAGCAAGGTGTGAAATAAGAAAATGTGTGTGTGATTTTAGCCTCCATGTATGTACATAAATACATTTCTATATATACAGAGACACATAAAGACTAACATGCCCATTCCAAAACTTGGAACGTAACCATGTGTAGTAAATCCTTCTTAAGGTATATAAAAGTATCCTTCCGTCTTCATGCTCATCACTGCATCTGCATTCATCTTCTGTAAGTGATGTTGTGTTGCTGGAGGATATGATGTTTAGAAAATCAAATCTAAAATTTTGTTTCTGTTGGAATCTGTAGGAAATAAAAGGAAATATATGTCACCCTCTGTAAGGAATAGCCAGGGTAGGTGCCCTCTGGTGAGTGATATGTAAGAATTTGCTCCTCTAAAGCATTTGTGTGGGAAGACTGTGGTCTGACATTTTTTCCTTATGGGGTTGTCGTGTGCTGGATACTGCCCTTCTCTTTAAGTCCATGATGAAAGACTGTGTGTGTCCCGCTCTTATCCCTGTCTCCAGGCTCCCCTTCTGCCTGAGACACTTAGAGAGATGGGACCAATGATGACATCTCTGCCACATGGACACATACCAGTGAGCTCCTCATGGGAGAACCATGGTGGACAGGTGAGAGCCTGGTAAGATTGCCTTCGCCCACCTTCCCTCTGCAGACCCTTGGTGCGCAAGGCAAGGCTTGTGAGCAGAGCCCCACGTGTCTTACTCCTGTAAGGCTTTGCCTTAAGTCAAATCCCATCAATAAGCTGTCTGGATGCTTTCCATTCTGGGCTGACACAAGAGCTCAGGGATGAAGATGCTTTTGTTATGTGACCTAGCAGTTCCCGTGAAAGGCTTTTGGGGCCGCGTTTCCTACAGTTGGAGTGCCGCTACCGGAGGCAGGAGTCTTACCGTGCACTCGCGGCTGCGCAGTCCGTTGCTGGGGATGATGATATAGTTGTTGCTGCTACCCTTCTCCTGCAACGAACACAAGAAATTGTGGGTTAGGAAATGGATTGCTTCTTTCTTTTTTTCCTTTTTCACATTGAAGAAGGTCTTGCTTTTTAAATCTCTGGAACATGCTTGGGAAGTTGACCTGGAAGGAAGGAAGCTCTCACTTGTCAGCCCTTTATGCCTCCCACCAGGTCTCCAGGTGAGTGCAGAAGAGCTGAGCCAGTTCAGCTAAGTGGGATTAGACAGTTTCCAGGTGAGCAGCATTCTGGGTTTGGTACTTTTAAACAGATTTAACATATGTGGGATCCTTTCTTGCTCTTGATTTAAGAACACTCCCAGAAAGGCCAACACCAAACTTGGCTGTCCTAATTTATCTGCACTACTTCAGCACCCCTTTTGAAGGTGGACAGGCCTGGGAAGCCTACATGCAAGCAGCATCAAGTCTGCCTTGCAAGAGCCGCTACAGCATATGCAGCAGTCCCCGCCAGATGGGTGACGACAGAGGACTGCTGATGGAGGGGCCAGGATTTTGCCCCTGCACTAGGAGGTGGTTTCAAGTGAAGTCCACAGCCAGGCCAGTCTCCAGTGGGAATTATTCACTCCTTTCACTAATGGTTTGCCAGGCACCTGGACCAGGGACCACTCTTACTCTCCAAATTTGTTGGAAACCAGCTGAGTTTTAATCATTAACTTTTTAAATATAGACATGGTATAGAGCACATGGCTAGCTACGCAGAGCAGGCTTGGGTGCTTGTGAATAATGTAAAGGCACTACGGTAGTGAAAGATGAAAACTGTAGCGTTACCTCAGCGAGCTTTAATTTGGGGGAGCTGGCTATGTCCTTCTTCAGCAAAATGTGTAAAACAGCATCATGAATGGTGAGGAAAAACATGGATGGCTTGATCTCCTCGTCAAAAAATGCACTTCTCTCCAGTTTGTCCAGGAAACCCTCTGCAGGGGAACAAAACCAAAGCACAAAGTAAGTGACCTGCAGGGCTTGAAAATGGAGAAATAGTGTATCCACTGGGTGAACACAGGGATTTCTGGTATACTGCACTGTTTTATTTATTAGAGCAGATGGGTTCCTCTTTACTGATGTGGAGAGGATGGGACATAAATGCCCATCAGTACTGCCCTGCTCAATGCCAGGCAGAAAGGAATTTGAGCCCTGGTTCTTATTTAATGCCTAATTCAGGCTGCCCGATAGCGTGTCTCGCAGCCCAGAGCTGTACAGCACAGCGGTGGCCGTAGGTAAAACGAGCCGTCGTGCGTGGTCCCAGCCCGCTGGGGACGGCATGGGAGGGATGACTCCTCTGCTCAGCTGGATCTGTTTGCTATCCAAGACTGGAAGGTAAAACTGGGGTGACCCTCCGCAGCCATGCTCGGTGGTGGATGGGGAAGGCAGTGGGACGAGGCATCTGTGGTGATGCTGACGGAAAGGCAAGTACTCACCATGTGCCCCTGCAATGTAAATGTCGATGTCGATCCGGACAAATTCTTTCAAAGTCTGTTAAACCAGAAAGAGGCATCATTTAGATACTGCTATTTTTGCTGATAACAGCCATTATGGTGATTAGCCACAGCAAATAAACAAACCACTTTAAGATATTTAAGATCGATGATGGTAAGCAGCTCTAAACTCAAACTGTGCTGCACCTAGAGGCAGGATGATCTCTTCACATGGCAGTGGCCTGGCATGACCAATCCTTTTGAAGAGGGGCAGTATTAAATACATTTAGCCTGCAGTGAAAAGGATTTTTTTTATAAATTGTATGGCTTTATTATATGTACTTGACACATGATGAAACTAAGACTCCAAAAGGTTCTGGGGAGATTTTTACAACTGGGAATTTGAGTAGAACTACAGCTCCTGCTGACATGGCGGGGGTTTAGTTCCTATGGAAATAGATTTACACACCCTATGTGGCTCTAGATAGTTAACTTTAGCTACTACTGTTTGAAAATGTTGTTCTTACTGCTTTGTTCAAGGTCATCCTGGGAAGCGAGAGCAGGAGGAGAGATGAAACTCAAACCCTCCAACTCCCAGCCTGGTGTTTGAAGCCATATTTCATATGTTCATTTCTGTAAAGCTTCCCAAAATCTTACCAGGTGAAGAAAGGGTGCCTCAGCCAACACTCTATTTCCAAGAAAATTTAGGTCAATTATTTAATGCATTTCCTGAACATTTTCTATGGAAAATGTACATTAAAATTCACATAAACTCAAAAGTTGCCAGTGACTTTCCAGTCCATATAGGAATACTTTTAAGAAGCAGGCTAGAAACGCAGAATAGAATCACAGAATGGTTTGGGTTGGAAGGGAAGCCTTCTCTTCTTCAGGCTGAACAACCCCAACTGTCTCAAGCCCTTCCTCACAGGAGAGGTGTTCCAGCCCGCTGACCGTTTTCGTGGCCCTCCTCTGGACCCGCTCCAACAACAGGTCCATGTCCTTCCTGTGCTGAGGACCCCAGAGCTGGACACAGTACCGCAGGTGGGGTCTCACGAGAGTGGAGTAGAAGGGCAGAATCACCTCCCTTGACCTGCTGGCCATGCTTCATTTAATGCAGCCCAGAGCACAAGTGGCTTTCTGGGCTGCGAGAGCACATTGCTGGCTCGTGTCCAGTTTTTCATCCACCGGTATCCCCAAGTCCTTCTCCTCAGGGCTGCTCTCAATCCATTCATCCCCCAGTCTGTACTGTTACTGGGGATTGCCCTGACCCAGGTGCAGGACCTTGCACTTGGCCTTGTTGAACTTCATGAGGTTCACATTGGCCCACTCCTCAAGCCTGTCAAGGTCCCTCTGGGTGCCATCCCTTCCCTCAAGCCTATCCCTCAAGTGTAACTATGTTCATATGTTTTTCTTTCATATGATCAGTTTGCCTTGTGATTTAGAATTACCTTTTGGAGGATTCTCATGGCAGAAAAATCAAGGAAGGACACTGCTGAGAAATCCAGAATGATGCTATGGATGTTGACCCGGGGCACAGTGATGCCAGGGGGGAGGTCAGCACCCCAGTTGATCTGAATGGGCAAGTCTGTCATGTTGGTGGGCTGGTCCAGCTCCTCTATCCTGTTGTTGTCTAATTCTTCATCTGACTCGTGTGTATGGTTAACCATGCAAATCAATCCTTTCTGTGTTGACAGAGAAAAATTGCGTAATTAGTACTTCTTTTTAAGACCTAGCCAGGGTAGTAGTGCATCTTATGGAAGGGTGATAGTGGTGGCAATGCAAAGCTGATGTACCTATGAGATGGAGCAGGACCCACCTGCACTTTACACTGGAAAAAGTTCTGCCTCTCCCTCATCTGGAGGAGATTGGAATTGTTGGCTTTCCTCTCATTAATCGTTTAATCATCATAATCAGTTCAGTCCTTCTGCTCTGCTCTGCTTCCATTCATCCCCTCGTCTGTACTGTTACTGGGGATTGCCCTGACCCAGGTGCAGGACCTTGCACTTGGCCTTGTTGAACTTCATGAGGTTCACATTGGCCCACTCCTCAAGCCTGTCAAGGTCCCTCTGGGTGCCATCCCTTCCCTCAAGCCTATCCCTCAAGTGTAACTATGTTCATATGTTTTTCTTTCATATGATCAGTTTGCCTTGTGATTTAGAATTACCTTTTGGAGGATTCTCATGGCAGAAAAATCAAGGAAGGACACTGCTGAGAAATCCAGAATGATGCTATGGATGTTGACCCGGGGCACAGTGATGCCAGGGGGGAGGTCAGCACCCCAGTTGATCTGAATGGGCAAGTCTGTCATGTTGGTGGGCTGGTCCAGCTCCTCTATCCTGTTGTTGTCTAATTCTTCATCTGACTCGTGTGTATGGTTAACCATGCAAATCAATCCTTTCTGTGTTGACAGAGAAAAATTGCGTAATTAGTACTTCTTTTTAAGACCTAGCCAGGGTAGTAGTGCATCTTATGGAAGGGTGATAGTGGTGGCAATGCAAAGCTGATGTACCTATGAGATGGAGCAGGACCCACCTGCACTTTACACTGGAAAAAGTTCTGCCTCTCCCTCATCTGGAGGAGATTGGAATTGTTGGCTTTCCTCTCATTAATCGTTTAATCATCATAATCAGTTAATGATGGCCTTTTATTGTTCCCTAAAGTCACCAAAAAACATGCAGGATTTGGGCTGAGAGAAAACCAGCTTTATCCTACCATTAATGCAGTAGGAACACCACCTCTGTGGGATGTCAACTTGCTATTTGATGCCAAACAAAGCTCCAGTGGGGACATACAAGCTCTGCCCATGGAAAAGCTATAGGTCTCTTACTGTGAAAGCAATTTAAAATCATATTTTTGAAATGTGTTTATGTCATGAAGCAGTGACTTGGGGAATAGCATATCTAATTAGGACAGGAGGCTGTGAGGCAGTTCTCTGCCACTTCAAGCCAGGGAGCTGGTTGCTTAACCCTCCTGGGTGGAGTTGCCTTACATACGGGTGTCACTTGCAGCTCTCCTCTCTTCAGCATCTTTCTCATCTTCCTTAGAGCTTTATTGCGTTTCCTCAGGACTCTCAGTGGGTTGAAGCCGACCTGCAGAAACAGTACTTTGAATAATTAAAAAAACCCAAACCCAGTGACACCAGGGGAAGGACACAGCATCTCACGAGGCTTTTCTTTACAGTCATGATGAGCATGGTCTGGACTTGATGTTGTCCACCACTTTTCACCAATTCAAGCAAGGGCTCTTTTTCCTGGTTGGGAAGAAGTCTACAGGTATGACTGCAAACCAGGCAGGTTCATCTGTGCTAGCTTTAGGACACCAGCATGGACAGCATTATAGCAGTGATGATGCTGTAGCACAGGCCAGTAACTCCAGCAGGCTGGTACCATGCTGGCTAGCCCAGGGCTTGTCCTACTCATCTTCATTATGAGATGGCCACTCAGGCCACTGAGATCAGAGGGCTCACAGGTTGTATCTGCTCTGTGCCACCTGACTGCAGCGTGGGTCCTATACACATAATTTTGTTTTCTTGAAGGAGAAAAACAAAGTTAATCGTGCTGGCTGCATACGCCTCTTGAACCTGTTAGCTGGTTTTAACAAAATAAGACGGCAGGTAAATTAGGCTAATAAGGGTTACAAAAACGCTAAATTCCTGCGAGCCTTCTGACTCGTCTATCTAGTGGGCAGAGGAGAAAGGTGTTATAAGTGCCTGCATCTGTAAGGAGAGAGAGTGGTGTGAGCATCTGTGCTCACAGAAAAAACCCTTCAGGCTCTTCTGAGGTGAAAGCCAAGCACATGGAGACCCAAATGTGCTGGATTCCCTGGTTCCTCTGCCAGTTTCAGTCCCTCAGGTGAACAATGAGCTGCACATTACCAGTGCTCAGGGCAGCCGCTGCTTATTGACCCCCCTTAAGAGCAGCAGGAAGGGGAGGTTATGGGTGTAAGTTCAGTTCAGCCCGGGGATGGCGGGCCTCTCTGCCACAGTGAGGACTCAGGGGTCCTGGCTCTCCATGCTGGTTACGGAAAGACAGGCTACCTTCGCCCAGTTTGTCATGGAAGAAATTAAGACCTCTTTGATAGTGTGATTTCTTTCAGCTTTTCTTCTGACTGTTGAGGTTATGTTCTTTGGGGCAAGATGAGTAAACTAGCATTTATTGGGTGTAAATAATATAAATGCTAATAAAATAAAATAATGTCTCTTTATATTATCTATGTTTGCAGTACTTTTTTCTAAAGGACTTTAAATATATGTATGTACCTTGTCATGGTATAAGTTCAGCACGAGTCAGAGTGTTCTCTTTCTCAGGGGTATGTGCATATATATGAGATTACAGTAGCGGAAACAGTATTTTAATAATGCAAGAAAAATTCATCTTTGAACTGTGGACTGGCTGTATAGCTAGTCATTGTTGGGAAATTGTATTCACCCTTAACATGTCATGCAATTCATATGTTCAGAATGACAGCCCCGGACACTTACGGCAGTGATGAGTTTCTCTCTGAAGAATTCAATATTAGCGAAGAAGATAGGAGATGAGCATCTGAAAATCTTCACTCCCTCTGGCTCATAGATCTGTGCAATAAAGCAAACGTGTCAGTAATGACGTCTGCTATAGAAACACAAATGCAGAAGGTAATAAAAGAAACATTTCTTACATCACTGTAATCCTTCCTGTTTCTGTAGATGTTACTTCTCCCAACATTAGCCAAAACAGTGCAGCTTGGACTGCAAAAAAAACCACACACACACAATTATTTGTACCCTGTATCGAAAACTGGCAGAAGAGAAGGATCAGAGAAAGCAACCTCAGCTGTGGTGGTAGACTGAAACGGGACCCCACATCCAAGGGGTTTTGCCTGTAAATGATTTTTCCATACACAGTTGCTGGCCTGACCGAGGCACGGGGCTGTTGGCCTTCTCTATACAGGGGGAGTTAATTTATAACAGGAGGCCCTGAGATGCCATCATGTCTAGCAAGTACTCACATCTGGGAGCGGATCACCACGGTCAGCAGCTGGAACGCCACGGCGGTTGCTAGCCCAATATCCAGGCCAAGAAAAACGGCAGCTAAGAAAGTCACCACCCATATAACCTGTAACGAGCAGGTGGATGGCAGCAGTTAGGAGTGTGGCAAGGACCTGGGTCGTGAGCCCAGGGTGGGAGCAGCAGCAGATCTCAGATCTGATCCAGGCTGTCCACCTGCCTTTGGTGAGGGCTTTCGTGTTTCCTAGTTTTTTTCTTGTAAAACAGGGCCAGACTCACCGACTAGCACCAGGGACTGTTTCTAGGGATAACAATTTCTATACAATAAAGGCTTAGAATAATCGAAGTGTGGATATTCTATAGGTGGTTCACTAAACATTCAATCAAAATCCAGCAGAAAGGCACGGTTACAAGTAAATCAGGATCTAGGTAAAGCTGAGAGTTGTAAATGTGCTTTGGGTATCAAACCAGGCAAATGCGGGTGCTGTGAATGTCTGTGACTGATAAGCACAAGTGACTAGATAATACTGAGTATTTTTTAATCACAGATCTCAAAGCATTTTCACGTGGTAAATAACTGTTTGGTTGCTGGAAAAACAGGTCTGGAACCCTTTGAGAACACAAGGAATTGGCTGATGAGGAAGCTAAGAGCCTAAATTTTCTAAGTGTTAGAGGTAAGCAGTCCTACCCTCCAGCCACAAACTTTGCCATTTGGAGTAAATCCTTCGAGCCATGATTGTCACTTGGTTTTTTGCTGTGTAACCTCCACCTAATGTGCTGCATGAGTGTGAGAAAGTGTCCCTGAATATGTAGCTAATGCAGTGGGTATTTAGACATTTTCTGTAACTTCTTTCTATATTTGATTTATATAATGAACGGTATTTTAATAGATTTTGATGAAATAGATGAAAATTAACATTGCCAAGAGAAGTTAGGAGAGAGAATTGACTCAAAATAAGTGGGACAAAATGGAAAACATGAGCAAGGGGTACAAGAGTGAAAAAGGCATACCACTATTGTACTTTCCATTCAATGAAATAAGGCAGATATAAAAATAAAGATAACCTGTAAATGAATTTGCATAATAAATGACTTTCCCAGACTACTTCATTCCTGAATGCTTGTGAGACTCAACTTACACAGTCATACTTGTCCTTTCTCCATAGGATGCCTACTTCCTTGAACTGCATGAGCATTCCTTTCAAGTTGCCAAGAGCCAAAGATGCAAGGACTGACTGTTAAAAAGACCAAAATATATGTTGAATTTTAAAGAAAGCAAAGCAAATGTTGAACATTAAGACTTAGAAGGTCATACAAATAGGGCCAAAGTGCAGCTGAAAGGCCAGGCAACTCCTCAAGGTGTGTCACTGCTGCGAGTCAGGGTGCCCCATCTATCGCACTGGAGTCTCCCTAGCCATGGTGCAGTGCAGGTGTCTGACTTTGGGCTGCAATCCCACTTATTTTTGGCACCTAAAAGCTGGTGCTGTGATGTTTGGTGTTTGGGCGCTTGCGTTCCCTTTGAAGGACCAGATGTAGTGGTCCTCTCTGTCATGATCTGGGAAGAAGAACCAAGCTTTGCAAAATCCTCTTTGGCTCCCGCTGAAGCCTATGGATGCTCCCAGTGACTCCTAGAGCAGCCCTGTTTTTGGCAAGCAGGAGGAAGCACTAGGTGAAACCAGTGAATACCTTCTGTAATGGTGCCAGGAGAAACCCAATGGCCAAGATCACAATCAAGACGATGAAAGCTGAGATAATGCCAGCAATCTGCATGAGAGAACAATTCCACCATGAATAAGTGCCCGAAGGCATTATGGTCATCCAGCAAAAAAAGAGAGCTTTCTTGCATTAGACACCATCATGATCTGTTTTCTGTACCTGTGTTTTGCCTCCTGTGCTCTCCTGCACACCTGATCTTGACAGAGCAGTGCTGGAGGCAAATCCTTTGAACGATCCACCAACTATATTACCCAGCCCAAAAGCAATTAGTTCCTGAAATAAAAACAAAAGAGATTGTTCTTAAAAGCTAGTTCATGACAGTTATTCACAAGGCAAAGTATTCCTAAAATGACTTATTTCCCGTTGACAAATGCACTGTATTGACTCCTGTGTTATCCACCTACCTGGTTGCCGTCTACTGGGTAGTCATGCTTGATGGAATACACTTTAGCCACAGAGAAGGCTACTGCAAACCCAACGATTGCGATGGAAATGCTGTCACCGACACATTTTTGGAGGATACCTACATCAGGTGCAACAGGCGCTTGAAATCTGAAAGACAAAAAACTCTGCTCATTAAGGATATGCCCAAGGAGACAAGTTGTCAAGCAAGCAAGCAAGGCAGTGGTCCAGCTCATAGTGTCTTAGCACTTTGGGCACTTTGGTGAGGTGCAGCACATAATTGTGGATCTGAACCCTGTAAAACTTTGGGGAATCCCTGATTGGGATAGGGACTCTGTTTATCTGCACTGGACTCAGTTTGTGTCTCAGCAGGTTCATTTGCTTGGCCAGGACCAGCCACAGCTTATTTTGTCTGAGGTGCATGCACAGTTCTGCCTTCTAGTTATGCATGGAGGTAAGATCTGATGTGACGCTGGGGCCCTTGCACAAGCAATTTGCACACAGAAGGGTTTCACTTAATTGTGACCAAAGAAAAATCCCTGCATGATTCAATGAAGCACTTCAGACAGCTGAACAAATATTTAGTAGCTCAGGTAATATTGACTAGTCTCTCAGGCTGTCTGCTAGGTGCTTTAGCTTTACCATTTTCTGCTCCTTTGATCAGGGGCTTTTGCAGATCCTAGGGAGAATTCCTTTCTCGGCTTTTTTTTTTCTCCCCCCAATGACCTGAAATCTGAAGAATGGAGACTCTTGAGCAGAAATAGCTGTTCCTCTGCAAACTTCATCCACTAACACCTCCGAGGCTACAAGAAGCAATTGAGAGTGCCCTGGTGAGTAATTGGCTGCACTCTGCTATCCTAGTTAGTAAATGTCTTCCTCCCTCTTTTTAACTTGATGTGTGCCTATTAATTCTTCAGGACAAAATTCTGGCATAGCTGGATATACTCTATATATGAATATATATTCTCTGTATGGATATACTCCTGGAGGAGCAGACGTTGAGGCCTCCTGAGGATAACAGTGCCTGGGGAGATGCTGGCGGCCGGTCGCAGGGGACCAGGCGGGAGGACTGTATGGTGTCATGGTGGCTTCCCAGGGCTGGTGGGGGCTGGTGAAACCTGCCTGGACTTTTGG